CAGAGCCTGACGCGGGGCTCGAACTCACAGACCGTGAGATCGTGACCTGGCTGAAGTCGGCGCTTAACCGACTGCGCCACCCAGGCGCCCCGCCACATAACTTTTTAAAATGCAAATTTTGGGTTAAGCCACACAGACCTTAGAAAAATGTTGCACAAGTTTTAAAAATTTAACATTTAATTCACTTTTTATAAAAGTTACATAAACAGAATCAAAGGATAAAAACTGTTGGTTTTTTGTTTGTTTCTAAAGTTTATTTATTTATTTTGAGAGAGAGAGGAAGCAAGAGAGAGAATCCCAAGCAGGCTCCACACTGTGAGCACGGAGCCAGATGTGAGGCTTGAACTCAAGAACCGTGAGATCATGACCCGAGCCGAAATCAAGAGCTGGACCCTTAACCGACTGAGCCACCCAGGCACCCCAAAACTGTTTTGTTTTGTTTTTTAATCAGTAAAGGCTAAACCAAATATTTGAAAAGTAAAGATGGTGAAGGGATGACATTCATAACTGCTGTTAGGAACATAAATTGGTACAACTATGGAGAGCAATTTGAAAGTAGCTATCAAAATGTCCTAAAAATGTATATAATTTTTGTCTTTGTCTAGGCTACTGTAATAAAATACTGTAAACTAGGAGGCTTATAAACAATAGAGATTTATTTCTTACAGTTCTAGAGTCTGGAAAGTCCAAGATCAAGGCACTTGGCAGATTTAGTGTCTGGTGATGCTTGCTTCCTGGTTCATAGTCTTTTGCTTCCTGGTTCATAGTCTTTTTTTTATAAGGGCATTAATCTCATTCATGAGGGCTCTGCTCTCATGACCTAAGCACCTCCAAAAGTCCCGTCCCCAAATATTAGGTTTAAGTGTAAGAATTGGGGTAGGTGGATATAGGAGGATAACACACATAGCATTCAATTTGTAGCATCATTTGACTCAAATGTAAAGATGTGAGAAAGGCTTTATATGAGTGTTTGTTTACAACATTGCTTATGATGATGAAAAATTAGAAATAGCCTTGAAAGTCCAGCAATAGGTAATTGCTTGAATAAAATTTGGTCCATCTACATCATGGAGTATTGTGTTTGAGTATTAAATAACTAGGATGTCATGGATGAACATTTACTGACAAGGTTAAGATTTTCATGACGTGAACAAAATTAACAGATAATTTATTTAATTAAAAGCCATACATACGTATCCATGGTGATGTGAATGTATGGGCAGAGAACATGGTATGAGAAGACTATACTGAATGAAGGGTTAGCAGTGGTAATCTGAAAATGTTGGGACTTTTTTTTTTTTAATAAGGAAAAGGAATAGTCGTTTTGCATTTTTCTCCTTTTACTATTCTTACCTGAAAAGTACCACCATTTATGTATCTTTACAAAAAAAATAAGCTCATTAAGATCATAATTGTTATAATTTGTGCCATGTATTACATGTGCATATTACATGTTTTATGAACTTCAAGGTTGTAAGCTGTGTGCAGTATGTTTGGGCAGTTTCAGGAATTAGGGCTTGACCCTGAGGTAAGAGCTAGGTAGGAACATTAAGTATTTACAAGTTCTATATATTATTTGTTTACCCTTGACATTTTTTAAGAAGAAAATAAAGCTAAGAAATAGGTATGTCTTTTAACTTCTTTGTTTCCCTTATTATTTGGGATATTCTAACCAAAGGGAAATTTACTTTTGTTGAAGGTTTGTAACACAGGCTTTGACAACACAATATTTGATGGAATATTTTGAGAGATCCACTGCCTTCCTATTTTGTATTCTTTCGGAAGGCCCAAGTAGAACTACGTGGTGGAAATTAAAACGAAGTAGATTTCAGCTCCATGTAAAGAAGACACTTCTTACGAATCAAGTTATCCATTAGTAGAACAGGCCAGAAGGTACAGGCTATGATATGAGCAGCACACAGACACAGACTCACAGTGATAGTAAGAATTTACCTTTCCTCAGCCCCTGTGTTCATGAATGTGATGTGCTTGACCCTATCTTCCACTAGTTATTAATGCTTTAATTTTTGGTATGCTAATAATTACCTGGAATATATAAAGTGTTTGATATAACTCCCTATTATCTTTCTCTACTGTTTGCTTTATTTTTAGCATGCCATTGAATTAAAACTGGATTCCACCAATTCTACAATACTACTAGAGTGTTTTTATTTCCTAAAGCATTAGGTGGGCAGTGGCTTTGAAAGGGTAGTCATAGCATCATTGTTTGTGGTAGTAAAAGCATATGTCTCTATAATGGAATACAATATTTTTTTAAAAGGCAGATTTATATCTGCTGATAAAGAATGATGGTTAAGATTAAGTGGGTGTATGGGATATTGTGTGTAAGACTTTTGTATATAGTGTATTGCATTCTGTTTTAAAAAACAAATATCGATTACCTCTAGAAGAATATGCAGGAATGTGTGTGTATAGGTAGATTGTCTCTGAATATGCAAAACACTAATAAAGTGGTTACCTCAGGGAGGTCATTGGTGGAAAGGATATTTTATTGTGTACTTGCAAAACACTAATAAAGTGGTTACCTTAGGGAGGTCAGTGGTGGAAAGGATATTTTATTGTGTACTTATATGTTTAAATTTTGTTTAACCTTGCATACATATTAACTTTCAAATTATTTAAATGAAAATGTTTTACAGGAAATCTCTAACAAACAACTATTTGTTACAGTGGTAGTTAGGGCTCAAAAAAGTTGAGAGACATTGGAATAGGTTGCTTTAGGAGGGAGGTAGTTGATTTTCTCTTTGAAAAATTATAAGGAGAGCGTAAAGAGGCATCTGCTAATTCAGCTTTTCTAACCTTTGAGTTCTTTCTAATTCTAAATGAATGTCTCATACTGTGATATTGTACTAAGTTTATAGCCTGTGCCACCTTTTTTGTCCACTCTAATGGTTTAAAGTTATCTCTAATATTAAATGCATATTAATTATAATTTATCAGAACAATTCTGTGTACAACTAAATTTCATTTGCTAGTCCTTGAGCATCTGCTAAACATAACAAGTAGTAAAGGAAGGCTAAATGTAAACATGAAAAAAATTGATGATTACTGTCACAAATTGATAGCTGTTATATAAGCCATATCTTGATCCATAGAATGCCCACATCTTGTAAGGTAAGCAGTACATTAGAAACTTACAACTAAAAGCTCAGGAATAATGTTACAGTATTTTGGACGTACTATGGCAGGGCTAAATGTTTTAGAGGCTTTTGGGGAAGGTTCCTTTTTTGTGAAAGACTTGGATTTGGAAGGGAATACTCTTAAAAGAATGTCATAAGATTTATGAGATTTTAAATGAAATATTTCTTTAACATGGAAATCAGATTTGGTAGAAGTAAAAATTTGAATTTGTTTTCTTTCAGAAATCGAGCTATAGCAGATTATCTTCGTTCAAATGGCTATGAAGAGGCATATTCAGTTTTTAAAAAGGAAGCTGAATTAGATATGGTATGTTTGACCTTACAATTATTCATATAGTATTTAATAGGTGGATTTTTACTCAAGTATTAGAGGTTAACAGTCACCTCAGCTGTTCATAAATCTTTTGTTATTGTGGTTTACTTTGGTACTAGGTTTTCACCCCCCCTTTTTGGTATAATCAGATATTTATTAACATTTGGGCTTAGATGAATGGTCTGTATGGTTTGAACTATTGTAGGTGAGCCATTTTTCAAAAGGTTCTCATTTTTTTCTCTAGAATGAAGAATTAGATAAGAAATATGCTGGTCTTTTGGAAAAAAAGTGGACATCCGTCATTAGATTACAAAAGAAGGTATCTGTATCTTCTTTCTTTAAAGTCACTTGTATTCGGAGTGTTAACTATATAAACTTTCTGAAAATATTAACATCAGTTATTCTGCATTAATTAATAATTATATTTAATCTTGAAAGGTAAATGAAAATACATTTTTATTCATTAAAAACTTTGACCTAGGCAGGTCATTGCTGATACATGCTAAATCATGCATCCCAGGTATTGGCTCCATGTAATCTACACAACCCTGACTTCAGGGAATTGATACCAAAAAGAACTCATTTGTGCACTTAGAAGGGAAGAAAGCATGTAGCCAACATGATGTTGGGGAAAGAACACTAAAGTGTGCTCTTAGACAAGTCATTTTCATCTCTGAGCTTTTATTTATTTATTTATTTTTAATTTTTTTTTTTTTTCAACGTTTATTTGTGGGACAGAGAGAGACAGAGCATGAACGGGGGAGGGGCAGAGAGAGAGGGAGACACAGAATCGGAAACAGGCTCCAGGCTCTGAGCCATCAGCCCAGAGCCAGAGCCTGACGCGGGGCTCGAACCCACGGACCGCAAGATCGTGACCTGGCTGAAGTCGGACGCTTAACCAACTGCGCCACCCAGGCGCCCCAGAGCTTTTATTTTTTTATTTATTTGTGTGTTTTTTTTAATGTTTATTGTTGAGAAAGAAGAGGGAGTGAGCAGGGGAGGGGTAAAGAGAGGAGACAGGATCTGAAGCTTTCAGCACAGAGCCCAATGTGGGGATTGAACTCATGAACTGTGAGAACATGACCTGAGCTGGAGTTGGACACCCTGCTGAGCTTTTATTTTTATCTGTAAAGTGAAGGCAGCAAATAATATTCTTGTCCTAAAATTTATACCCTTAGTGGGCGAAGTTAGAATAAATAAATACCATTTTTATAACATGAGTTAATCCAGAAAATGCTCTTAGAAAAGTAGCCAACACATAGATGCATGTTAGCTTTTATAAAGGTGCACTGTCCTTCCTTTAATTGGTAGATATAAATTGAAAAATATTTTTTTTCAGTTAAATATTTGACACAATTGGAGTGAATTTTTCTCAAGTTTCAGTTGTATCACACTACTAAAATTTTGGTAGCATATCATATAGATCATTTTCAGTTAAAATTGATGAATGCTTTGTAAATTACCAGAATTTTTTCAAGAATCCTGCAAACTGATTTTTTAAAAATATCAAATATCTTCTTTTTATCAGAATCTATCTGTATATAACTATGTGTTCCTTCTTAAGGTTATGGAACTAGAATCAAAACTAAATGAAGCAAAAGAAGAATTTACGTCGGGTGGACCGCTTGGTCAGAAACGAGACCCAAAAGAATGGATTCCCCGTCCACCAGAAAAATACGCATTGAGTGGTCATAGGAGTCCAGTCACTCGAGTAATTTTCCATCCTGTGTTCAGTGTTATGGTCTCTGCTTCAGAGGATGCTACAATTAAGGTAACTTTTTCAAAATTAAAGATGTACAATAGGATAATTATTAAAAGCAGATTAACATTAATTGGGTAAAAGAAATAAAACGATCCTGAAGATGAAGACCTGTATAGGACAGGAAAGAGAGGAAGGACTCTTCAAAACTGTGATTGGTTCTAAGCCTTAGACAGAATTAGAATAAAATTTCATTATAGCTCCTGAGAGGCAAGCTGCCAACTAAGTTCACTGATGAATTTGAGAAAATTGGGTGTCACTAGTTTAGTGTTGCATAAGTCACCTAGTATGTGAGTAATAATTTTTGTTTTTGGAGAATGAAGATATACATGTGCCTTGCTTTTAAGCAGAGATGATAGATGAAAATACAAGGTTACAAAATTAGTTCTTCAGAGGGTGAATATATTGTGCAAAAGAATTTACTTATTTAAATTGGACTCTCCTTGTTGTGTTTTATCTATCTATCTATCTATTTATTTATTTAATTTGAGAGAGAGAGCACGAGTGGAGGAGGGGCAGAGAGAGGAGGACAGAGGATCCAAAGCGGGCTCCACACTCAAAACAGTGAGCCCCGATGCAAGGCTTGAACTCACAAACCATGAGATCATGACCTAAGCCAAAGTTGGACACTTGACTGACTGAAACACCCAGGCGCCCCTCTTCTTGATGTATTTTAAATACTGGCTTTGTTCTCTTCAGGGGTGTGGGAATATGGGAGGTTTTCACTTTGTAAGTTATATATTTCTCTCATTTTTCTATTTTTTTTACAGGAAGTGTACACATTTCAGTGTTCTTTTTTTTTTTTTTTA